CCCAGCCTGCCCGAGGCCCAGCCTGCCCGAGGCCCAGCCTGCCCGTGGCCCAGCCTGTTCATGGGCCAACAGCTGTACCAGGAGCTCAGTCCCTGCAGGTGAACGCAGAGAAGGCGGGACACTGGGCAGCAGTAGCCCCTGGGCCGGCACAGGTAAGGATCGGTCTTGGGAAAGGTGGAAGTCCAGGGACTCAGCAAAGGGGGGTCGTGGTCCCAGTGGGCCTGCCTTGGTGGGAGTGGTCCAGCAGCTTCAGAGGCGGGGCAGGGGGAGGAAGTACACAAAGTCCAGGAACCTTGGGTGATTCCGTAACTAGGATCCAACCTTTTCCCGAAGGTAATAAAGTCATCACCGGCTATCAGACACGGCCTCTCACGTGCTTCGCCCTCAGAGCAAAGGCCAGTCCCGAGCGCAGGCAGGAAGTTGGGGAACTTCCTCCTTGAGACCCTCGATTAGTATGTGTGCCTGTGTGCATGCCTGCGTGTGCATACGTGTGTGGGCCTGTGCCTATGTGCGTGTCCCACCCTCATCCGCCTGCAGGCTCCCAGGGTCTCAGGCTGGTCCTGGGGAATAAGGCGATCCTCAAACCGACTCCAGGCGGGGGGACCTCAGGCCGCCGCACCCCTCCAGTCCCAGGGCCCAGTGAGAGCACCTCTGAACGCACCGCCAATGTGGGATTCCTTCAACCGAGGACACAAACCACATGCCCTCACCCTGGAGGTGGCCCCACCTCTACCTCTTGTCCTTGAGGGGCCAGGAGGGCTGAGGGGTGGATGGACCGTACTTGGGACTTGGCTGCTTTGTGGCTCCAGGCTCTGCTGTCGCCACTGTCCTAAGGCTGGGGAACGCCACACCGGAATGCCACAGCAGATGTGCCAGGCAACCCACCTGCAAAGGCTGACACGCTGACCCTAATCCTGGGGAGGCGGGAGGGTGTGTATCACAGGTGGAGGGGGCTGGCGCCGATGCCATCCACTGACCCTGCCCGTCCTGCCCGTGAGCTGGCTCCCAGGCCAGAACTGGCGCTGGATGGATCCCCCGAAACACCGCTTCCAGGAACTTTGCCAAACATTAGCTCAGCGGCGACACGGCTCTGAGTTTCTGCAGGTGACTTTTCTCCCACCATCCCCCACCCCCAGACAAACACACCCCGGGAGCTGCAGCAAAGCTTGCCCTGCAAGGACCTCACAGCTCAGGAGTGAATCAGGAGGCGGGGAGGGGAGGGGGCGGATGGGACCATATTCAGCATTTTCTACTAACTAAGCAGCAAAATGATGTTCTAAGCATGTAACAGAGAAAGAATGAAAAATCCTTCCAAGATCGCGCTACTGAAATTCAGTGCCCGAGGGAGGTGTTTTCTTCCCCCCAAAACAGATACACATCTCCACCTGTTTATGCTACGACCCAACACGTTACTACAACAGTTCTTAAACACACGGCTTTGTAGGAAACAGGACTGTTTTACACCGTCAATTAAAAAAAACACCAACATTTGGCTTCCCGGCACTTTGGGAACAGAGCAGAAAGGTGGTGTTTAGAACTTCCTGGACATGACCACGCTGGATGGAAATGCTGGTCTGACAGACACCGAACGGCCGGCGAGACAGGGGGGTGCCCTCCCAGAGGCCGAGAACTTTCCATTCCTGCACAGATACGCTGCCTGCTCCAGGCAGAACCCAGACTCCTTGGCGACAGAAGGAAAACAGAACCAGCAGGAGGAAGGCCATGTGCGAGGGGCGGGCGGTTCCCACCGACCACAGGCCAGCTCGTGGCAGAGGACAGAGGCCCCGTCAGAAAGACAGGCTTTCAGAGAGAACATGACCGAGGAAATAATTGCCTTTTTCCTTTCTTCTTTCCTATTTTTTTCCCAAACATCCCACCATCTCAAGTAGCTTGATAAATGGGAAAAAAAATAAAACCAGTCTCTAAAAGCTGCTGCCGGACAGTTAGAACCCGGGACAGTGGGGCGTCCCCTGTGAACCAGACCCCACTTCTCACCCACCTCACTGCCCCCTCATTGGACGTGTGGCTGAAGACTCCTGGCTCAGCAGGGGAGTCCAAGGGGAAGTCCCCGAGTGCCTCTGACCTGCAGCTGGCAGCCCCCCTGCTGGCCCAGGGGGTGGGAGGCACCCCTCAGGCACCGGCTCTCCCCTGGAAGGACCCCCACCCCAGCTCCTTGAGTCCCACTCTGTCTGCGCTCTCCCAAACCTACTTTCCAGTCCAAACATCACCCTCACTGGTCCCCCTGCCAGGAATCCCAGGGGCCAGTGGGGACAGGCAAGGGGGAGCCCAGGGCTGCCTGCTCCACACCCCAGCCTATTCCCTCTGCGGCTCCCCACATTCCAGTCCCAGGTCAGAGAGAGGACGGGCCCCACCCTCTGGCTAAGCGGGTGGTCCCTGGGACTGAGAGGGGCCACTTCTTCCCGGGACAGTGGCCCCTTTTCCTCCTCTGGTGGCGGAGGTGGCATGCACTTACCGGCAGCCTTCAGGTTCATCTTCCAGGTGCTGCTCCCTGCCCTCCTGGCCTCGGGCGGCAGCTGCCAGGTGACTGGGGACTTCCCACACGCCAGGGCCAGGGCCAGGGCCAGGGCGGAGGACCAGGCAGCACGCCCTGGGCCAGGTGGCGGGGGAGGGCGGGCAAAAGGCAGACACCAGGCCAGGCAGGTGCGGACCAGGGAAGTGCCCGGCTGCCTGGCAGGTGCGCTGGGTAGAGGCCAACCAGCTCCCATGCAGCAGCCCCTGAGGGCCCTGCTCTCTGCCCAGCACCTGGGGCCCAGAGAGAATGAGCCAGGTTTGTTCTGGAGGGGGACTCTGCTCCCCTAATGGTTCATGGACCCAGCCCCCAATTTAATGTCTCACAGGGGAAGTGGCTGCAAAGGTAAGAAGGTGTGAGCCTTTCAAGCTTCAAAACGGAGCTCCCAGTGGCCTGGGCCCCGGTGGAGCTCTTTGCTTCTCACAGACCAGTCTCTGCCCACTGCTTTGCCAGAACCCAGCGGGTACACCACCTCCTGCTTCTTCTTTACAGTGTGAGTGTGTGATTGGAGGGGGTGAGGGAGTGAGGGGGGGTGGTTAGAAAATATGGGGAAAGGACAATGCCCCAGGCCCCATGGTCAGTGTCAGGTCTGCAGGTCCTCTTGTTCATACAGAGGCCAGGGGGTGCCAGGGTGGGGGTCAGGCAGGTGTTTGAAGAAAGCATTCCTTTTCTTCAATTTTTTTTTGGAATAGTTTGAGAAGGGTGGGTATTAATTCTTCTTTGAATTTTTGGTAAAAGTCACCTGTGAAGCCATCTGGCCCAGGGCTTTGTTTGTTGGTAGATTTTGCTGTTGTTACTCCTCACCCAAGGATATTTCTCCATTGGTTTTTAGTGAGAGTGGAAGAGAGAGAGAAACATCAATTTGGCTGCCCTGACCAGGACCGGGAATTGAGTTTGCAACTGAGGTACATGCCTTTGACTGGAATCAAACCTGGGACCTTTCAGTCTGCAGGCCGATGCTCTATCCACTGAGCCAAACCAGCTAGGGCTGTTGGTAGATTTTTTTTATTACTGGACCGGGAATTGAGTTTGCAACTGAGGTACATGCCCTTGACTGGAATCAAACCTGGGACCTTTCAGTCTGCAGGCCGATGCTCTATCCACTGAGCCAAACCAGCTAGGGCTGTTGGTAGATTTTTTTATTACTGCCTTAATTTCATTTGCTAGTAATCACTCTGATAATATTTTCTGTTTCTTCCTGGTTCAGTCCCAGAAGGTTGTATGTTTCTAGGAATTTATCCACTTCTTCCAGGTTGTCCAATTTGTTGGCATATAATTATCCATCGTATTCTTTAATGATCATTTGTATTACTGTGTTGTCGGTTGAAATCTCTCCTCTTTCTGACTTTATTTATTTGTGCTCTCTTTTTATTGTGATGAGTCTGGCTAGGGATTTGTCAATAGTATTTATTCTTCCAAAGAACTAGCTCTTAGTTTCATTGATCTTTTCTACTGCTTTTTAATTCTCTGTTTCATTTATTTCCACTCTGACCTTTGTTATTTCCTTCCTTCCACTTATTTTAGGTTTGGTTTGCTCTATTTCTAGTTCCTTTAGGTGTAAAGTTAGGCAGTTTATTTGAAGTTATTTTCTTGTTTCTGAAGGTAGGCATGTGAAACTATGAACTTCCCTCTTAGAACTGCTTTTGCTGCATCCCAAACATTTTGGAAAGTTGTATTTTCATTTTCATTTGTCTCAAGGGACTTTTGATCTCTTGTTTGATTTCTTCTTTGATCCATTGATTGTTTAGTAGCATGTTGTTTAGTCTCCATGTAGATGAAGTTCAAGAACCAACAAAACTGATCTATGGCACCAGAGGACAGAACAGAGCTTACTCTGAGCGTGGGGGTAGGAGCTACTCAGTGGGAAGGAGCCTGGGAAAACTCACTGGTGGGGTGAAAAGCTCCTTGTCTTTACCTGGGCAGTGAGGACACAAGAATCCTATGCGAAACGGTACCGAGCGATATTCCTTTAGGAATTGTGTACTTTACTGCATATAAATGATACTTCATTAAAGTCTGTTATCAAAAAACAACAACAATAAATCCATTAAAATGATAGAGTGGAACAGGTGTGTGAAGCTTTGAAAGTCTCTGGGCCTGGGAGCACATCTAGCCAACGCGGCACAGGAAAGCTGCCCCGCCTGGTGCCCTTCCTGCCAGAGGCCTGCTGGGAGCCCTGACGGGGCGCTGTTCTGTACCAGGTGTCTCAGCATCCTTCAGCGACACTGGGGGGACAACCTGTGTCCCATCTCAACCTGGAGGAGCTTCCCCAATAGCTCTAGCCTGACCTTCCTTCAAGGTCCCCCACCAAGCCTCCTCTCCTCTCGGCTGCCCTCTCCCCAAGGCCCCCACAGGCCTCTGGTCATCCCAAACTCCGCAGCAACCTGTCAGCTCTGGGAGGGTGGTCTCCAGAGCCATGGCAGGGGTGCGATTTGGGGTCATAGCTGCCTGGGTCCCTCAAAGGTAGACCCCACGCACACACTCTGAGACCTAGAGTGTGCGTGTGTGTGTGTGTGTGTGTGAGTGCGTGTGTGTGTCTCTGTGTGTGTGAGTGTGTGAGTGTGAGTGTGTGTGTATGTATGTGTGTGTGAGTGTGTGTGAGTGTGTGTATGCATGTGTGTGTGTGAGTGCGCACGCGTGCGCGTGTGTGCGCGTGTGTGCATGAATGTGTGTGTGCACGCGCGCATGTGTG